TCTCTCTCTCTCTCTGTGGTCTTTTTTGAGACAGGGTTTCCTTGTAGCCCCAGCTGGACTGGAACTTGGTATGTGGACCAGGTTGGCCTTGAACTTACAGAGATCAGCCTGCCATGTACCACCACGCCCAGCTTCTTTCTTGCTCACTTGCTTGCTCTCACACAAAATATGTGTGTGTGTGTGTGTGTGTGTGTGTGTGTATAAATGTAAAAAATTCTACAAATGTACAAAATTCTACATTTCTATAAATGTAAAATTTTTATAATATAAATGTAAAAATTCTGCCTAGAGAATTTACATACAAACCTGTTCCTGCCAGGCCTTTTTGTATAGGCCTGTAATCTTAGCCAGTCAGGAGGCCTGTTGAAGTTGAAGGCCTGCCTGAGTAACTTAGATCTTGTCTCCAAAAAGAAAGGAAAGGGGGGAAAAAACCTCATTAGCTCAGTTTTATAGTGCTTACTGCATGAGGCCCTGGTTTTGATCTCTAGACCAAGAAAAAAAAAAGCCTGTCCTTACTAGTTTTTCTTTAAACTTTGGTAAAGTTTCTCAGCTTTTGTTTCTTGGTAAAATATTCTAACAGTTCCTGCTTTACTTTCTTTTTTTGTTGGTCTTGTTTTGTTTTGTTTTGTTTTGTTTTGTTTTGTTTTGTTTGAGGCAGGATCTCCCTGTACCCCCAGCTGGGCTAGAACTTCTATGTAGATCAGGTTGGCAGATCCGTCTGCCTGTATCTCTTAAATCCTGGGATTAAAGGCATGTATCACCATGACCAGCTCTGCTCTGCTTTCTTCATAATGATACTGAATGTTGAGCTGAGATGATAAAATTAAGATCTTCTTGTAGTTTAAAAATTTGTAGGATTATTACTTACTAATTACAGCAGGATTTTAAAACTGATGAGTTGAAAAGTGTGTTAAAAAGGGGTTAAGGGCTGGAAAGAGATGGCTCAGCGGTCAAGAGCACTGACTGCTCTTCCAGAGGACCTGGGTTCAGTTTCCAGCACGCATATGGCAGCTCACTGTTGTCCATAACTCCAGTTCCATGGAACCTGACTCCCTCTTCTGGTCTGTGTGGGCACTGCACACACGGGTGCACTTACATACACGTACGCAAAACACTTATGTACATAAAAAAAAAATTTAAAAGAGGGATTAAAATGAGCCAGTCCTAGAGTTGTACACCTTTGATCCCAGGTAGATCTCTGTGAGTTGGCGATCAGCCTGGTCTACATAGTGAATTCCAGGTCAGCCAGGGCTATGTAGTGAGATTCTGTCCCAAAAAAAGAGGGGGGTGGGGGGTTGGTAAAAAAAGGCTTTGTTGCTGCGTGATTTGAGATTTTCTGGGTTGGACTGTTAACCACTTTCTTAGAGAAACCAGAATTTATTTTCGAGAACCCTGATTAAGCCTGATCATAGTCCATCTGTAACCCCATAGTTACAGCAGACTCTGCAGACTGTACTTTCAAGTAGTTCCTTTTCTGTACTATAAAGTGCTATTTTTAGTGACTTATTTTTGTTTCTTTCCATTTTGAAACTGTCTAGATTCAGGAAGAATCAGATATGTGGAAAATCAGAGAACTAGAGAAACAGATGGAGGATGCCTACCAGGGGACCAAAAGGAAAATGTTACCCAGCAGTTCAAGGTGAAGTTGCACGTCTGAGAACCAAAACAGTTCTCCTGCCTTTCAGAATTACCAACTTTTGTTTTAAAACTTTTCAGTGTGTTAAGGATAGATGAATTCAGTCCATCGAGTCTTTTAGAAATGCCTTCCCTGTTTCATAATTTAGGCCCGAGGAAAATACAATGACTGTGATACATATGGCTAGACTCTGTACTTGTTTGCAGTGGAGAATTAAAAAAAGTTTCCCTTGGACAGTCGTAAATGTTCACAGTTTTATAGATTCTGACCTCTTGTCTAATGCTTTTTTTTTTTTTTTTTTTTTGGTCTTTTTGAGATAGAGTATCCTGTAGTCCCAGATGGCCTGGAACTCTTTATATAGACCAGGCTGGCCTTGAACTCACAGAGATCTGCCTGCCTTTGCCTCCCCAGTGCTGGGATTAAAGGCATGTGCCATCATGCCCAGCTGTCTAAAAGCTTGTAACTCAGGATTTTCTATTAGTCTTTTTTATTGTATTAGTTATTGTATATGCATGTATATATGGTGTATGTGTGTGTGGGCTTACCACAGTGTACATGCAAAGGATTGGAACTCAGGTTGATAGGCTTGTGTGGGAAGTACTTTTACTAGCTGAGCTACCTCACCAACCCTAGAATCTTAAAATTTTTTTTGTTTTGGTCTTTTTGAGCCGGTCTCTCTGTAGCCCCAGCTGTCCTGGAGTCACTATGTAGACCAGGCTGGCCTTGAATTCACAGAGATCCACCTGCCCCTTCCTGCCGAGTGCTGGGATTAAAGGCGTGCACCACCATGCCCGGTTGAATCTTATAATTATTTAATCAGGGTCTGGAGAGATGGCTCAGTGGTTAAGAGCACTGGCTGCTCTTGCAGAGGACCTGGGTTCAATCCCCAATACTCACATGGTGATTTGCAACCATCTGTAATTCCAGTTCCAGGGGATCTGACGCCGTCTTCTGACCTCCTCAGGCATTGCACCTACCTGCATGAAGGCAATACACGCGTACTCATAAAATAAAAAAATAAATATTTAAAAAATTAATCAATCCTATCTTCTCCCCATTAGTTTTTCATTCTTTTAGGCTTTTTGTTTTTAATGTGTTAGCCACACATTATGTGATTCCCATGTGCTGGGACTCAAGCTGTGCCCTCTGGAAGAGTAGCCAGTGTTCTTTACTGGTGAACCATTTCTCCAACCCCTCTTTTATTTAGCCTTTTTTTTTTTTAGAAACCACATTTACTCTCTTTGCCAGGTCAATGGCCTTTCACATTTCTTTTGTAATAATTTGTGTGCAAATATAAAGGATTATGCAAGTTTGGTTGTCTTACATGGGAAATGTAGGAATGTATAACTGGGGATAGTTCTTGGGCCTCAAATGCCTGTAAGTATAGGAGATAGGTATGTAAGCTATACATATAATGTCATAATCCTGATTTATAAAGCTGCCTAGGGAAATGAGTAGCTAATATATATTTATGAAGATTGATTATAAAAGGAAAAATAAGACAGAAAGAAAAGACTTGAGAGTGAGTATTGTAGAGTGTGGACTTGAATGCTTCCAATGTACATAGTAAAAAGGCAGCATCTCAGAGTGTTCCATGAATTTTGTTCATAATATTCCATAAAGTAACATCACAGATTGTTTTTAAATCTTAAAAGTTCGTCTGTTTTCACTTATAGTCGAATGCGTAGTGATGGTTTTGATGAAGAACGTCAGAGAGACTACTGCAGGCCAAGGAATGAAATTTCTGGGGCAATGGAAGATGATTTTCTTAAGGCTAAATCTTGGAACAAGAAGTTATATGATTATGAAGCTAACATGCCAGACAGGTTTGTGACTAAATTCTGTGACCCCTCTAATGATGCTTGGCCTGAGAATGTGTATTTGTTAAAATTAATTGTCCCCACAAAAACTTACGTGCAAGTGCTTGTAGCAGCATTTATAGTGGCTAAATAATGAGAACCCAGATGGCTGTCAGCTGATGAATGAATAAATAGAGTGTGTGCTTTGTACACAGTGGAATATTATTTGGGGGCAAAAGGAATGAAATATTGATAACAGACTTAACCCTGGAAAACTTATACATGATTAAAGAAACCAGATGCAAAAACCGCACGCTATATGATTCTGTTTATGTGGTATGCCTAGAAAAGATAAATCTGTAGAGACAAAAAGATGATTAATAGTTGTCTTGGGCTGCAGACACTATACTTTAAAAGGACAAATTTCTTGGTATATGAATTGCAGTTGACTGAATACCTTTAAAATATGATTTTTAAAAGTGTTCCAGTGTAGAGGCTATAGAGATGGCTTAGTGGTTTAAAAATGTTCCAGTGTAGGGGCTAGAGAGATGGCTCAGCAGTTAAGAGCACTGGCTGCTTTCATAGAGGACCTGGATCAGTTTCCAGCACTCACACGGTGGCTAACAATGGTCTATAACTCCAAGGGGTCCACTGCCCTTTCTGGCCTCCTCAAGCACTGCACACATGAGTGCACATACATGCACGCAGGCAAAACCCTCATACACATAAAACAAAAGATATTTTTGAAAAAATGTCCCACTGTCGATAACGTGTAGGAAAAGTGCTTCACAGATAAAAAAGACAGTGTATGAGAGTACTTTAGTGTTTGTTAATGAATAATATAGAAAATGTAGCTATCATTAAACTATTGTTGGAGTTTACCATAGCCCTCTTTTCTTTATTCTGTGTGCATGTATGTCTCTGGATACACATAGTCCACAATCTCATTTTTTTTTAATTTCCAAAAAAGTATGTGTTGCTTTATGAAAATATGTATTATGTGATCTTACAGATGGGGTCACAGTGGTTATAAAGAGTTGTACCCTGAAGAGTTTGAAACAGACAGGTAAGGTAAACAACTTACTGAATAAAAGAAATGAAGATAATACAAAATGTGTGCTATCAGTTGAGTTCCTAACTTTCTTTTTTTAAAAAAATCTTGTAGGGGTCGGGTGTGGTAGCACATGCCTTTAATCACAGCACTCGGGAGGCAGAGGCAGGTGGATCTCTGTGAGTTCAAGGCCAGCCTGGTCTACATAGGGAGTTCCAGGACAGCTGGGGCTACAGGGAGACCCTGTCTTCAAAGACCAAAAAAAAAAAAAAAAAAAAAAAAAAAAAAATCTTTTAATGAATTTTTGTGCATTTCATATAGAACATTTTAATCATCTTTATACCTCCTTCCTCATTGGCCCCTCCCTCCCATAACCCCCCTACTGGAATTCATACATTCTGTCATTTGTGCTAAGGCCTGTCATGTCAAGTTACTGTCCCCAGATGTCCCTCAGTGCAGGTTCATCCACTGAGGTCTAGTCATCCTATCTAGAGTTCTTCCCTTTAAGAAGATCAGCTTTTACTCACCCAGCAGTAATCAGCTGCCAATAATTCTTCAATTAAAATTGGGACCTGCTGTCCATTTCCACAGCTCTGTTTGCAGAGTTTGCAGAGTTTTTGTCTGCTCGAGTTTGCATGGGTCTTGTGCATGCTGACACCATTGCTATAGGTTTGTATGAAAAGGGTCCCAGGACTCTTATTTCCAGGACTCCTCCTTGGCTCTTAAATCTTTCCACCCCCTCTTCTGAAATGGCCCCTAAACCACACATGGGTGGAAATTTTTTTTTTTTGCTGTTTTTGAGACAGGGTCTCCCTGTAGCCCCAGCTGTCCTGGAAATCACTGTGTAGACCAGGTGGCTTTGAACTCACAGGGATCTGCCTGCCTCTGTCTCCCAAGTGCTAGGATTAAAGGTGTGTGCCTCCACACCTAACCTTGGGTGGGTGGATTTTAATATAGGCGTCCTGTCTAAGGACCCACACTCTAGAATCTTATTTTCTATGTTTTGACCATTTGTGACCTTTTGTGTTCCTGGCCCTCTGTTTCATGAGGGAGCTTCATTGATGAGAATTGAAAGATGCATTAGTGTTCTCTTCATCCCTTGTTCTCTGTTCTTTGAACCTTAGATATAGAGGTTGCATCATAGATGTGCCACTTAAGGTAGGCATGGGCATTTCACAGACAATTGCTGTGTGTAACCAGTTGTGGAATTCTGTAATAATCTCTGTTGAAAAAGAAACTTCTTTGATGGATGGTGACTGGGATACTTGTCTGTAAATTTAAGTTTCCATATTTTGCACATAGTAAGAAATTACATTTGTCTAGGGATGTGTTAGCCTTGGAGTTTTCTCTCAGATCTGTGACCTCTCCAGCTATGTGTATTTAGCTAGGTTTACAGTACTACACATGAGTTTCCTCCCATTGAGTGGGCTTTAAGTCTACTTAGGTAGCTGTTGATTATCCCCAAGATAAAAGTGCCACTACTGCACCAGTGTCATTTTCTATGCCAGTCACTGGTGTGGTTTTTAGGCCTTGAAACTGGGGTTGGAGCATCGATTGATGTTCTCCCTTACCAGCTTGCGTAGTGCTCTCCAAAGCTATGAGAGCTAGCCTTCAGGGGAGGTGGCTTCCAGGTCAGTCCCAGCTCCATTGCTCCAAATTCTGTGTCTGAAGTATGTCCTGTTTTTGGCAATAGGGTCTTACTTTCAAGTTCTGGGAGGAAATCAAGGGCTGTGGCAAGTCTCTTGGACTGCCCTGGCCAACAACTGGAAAGTTTCTCCTGTCTGGCACTTTCTTGTTATGTAGCCTTCAGTTATACACATGGACTCGTGTAGAGATACCATATGTGCAATTTTTCTGTAGGTTTTTGGGCTAATACAATTCCCTCTGGTTTTTTATACTAGCTAGGCATTATTTATCCTTCCTCTCTCTCTGTCTAATCCTCCCTCTCCACCCTCCCCATTTAAAGTGTTCCCATTTTCCCCATTTCTCCCTTGATAATTCCTGTCTGCTCTGGTCCTACCTCTCTTGACCTCCTTCTTCCCCTTTATCCCCATAGTTCCTTCCATAGCCCTCTCCCCCTCCCATTTAACTACCCCCATTTTACACACTTCTCCCTTAGTAACACCTGTCTCCTGAGTTCCCAACTTTCATAAAGGATATGTTTGCCACTGAAAATGTAACTAGAACCTGGTATGGTAGTACTAGCTACCTAGGAGACTGAGGTAGGAGGGTTGCTTGAGGCTAGCTTGGGCAACATAATGAGGCATTGTCTCAAAAGCAAACAATACTTAGTTTGGAGGCCGTCCTTAATGTGCCTTTCCTTGACTGATAGTTGGCATATCTATAAACCTTTTGGTTTTTAGAAAACAAGAGTCTACCATCACCTATAAGGAATATGTTCCAAGATGCTTGAGGCCTCATATTCTATATCTTATCTATCTACCTCCCTAGCTTACATATTCTAATTTTTCCTATTTATTTTGAAATATTTTATTTATCATTTTTATTTTATGTGTATGAGTGTATTACCTGCATGTAGGTAAGTGCACCCGTGTTGTGCAATGCCCATGGAGGACAGAAGAGGCTGTCGGATCCCCTGGAACTGGAGTTACAGTTGTTAGCTGCCATGTGGGTGCTGGGATTTGAACCGGGGTCTTCTGCAAGAACAATCAGTGTTCTTAACCACTGAGCCATCTCTCCTGCCCCAATTTTTCCTCTTTATACATTCTCTATCACATACTTTCATCTTTGCAGTTTAACGAAGTACTTTACTGCTTTTCTTTGTCACATCTGAATTGTCAGCATCATCCTTGTGCTTTGGGACCACTGTTAAGTAAAATAAGATTATTTTGGAACACTAGCACTCATAAACCAGACAGTGGATCTGATGACCCCAATCACTAATAAATGAATAAAGGGTTGATAACTAGACACAAGGATGATTCAAGTCCTGTATAGGACAAAGCCAGATAGTGAGGAATTTTATTTTATTCAAAATGACATGCAGTTGAAATCTTATGAACTGTTATTGACCGTGGGTAACAGGAACCACAGAAAATGAAACTGTGGCTAAGAGGGCACTGATATTTAGTATTCCTTATGGTAACTCAGTATGGCAGATTAAGAGTTTTTGTTTTTTTGAGACAGGGATTCATATAGCCAGTACTGGCCTTGAACTTGCTATGCAGCCAAAAATGGCCTTGAACTTCTGACCCTCCAGCCTCCACCTTCCAAGTGTTGGGACTGCATGTGTGTACCATCATTGTCCTTGGCTCAAATTCTGTTTTTTGTATTGGTTTTATTTTTTTGTGTGTGCGTTTTTAAACAGTCTCCCTGTAGTCATAACTGGCTTGGAATTCACTTTGTAGACCAGGCTCTCTCAGATCTGGGATTAAAGGCATGTGCCACCATGCCTGGCTTATTTTTCTTCTTTTTTTTTTTTTTTTTTTTTTTTGAGACAGGGTCTCCCTGTAGCCCCAGCTGTCCTGGAACTCACTATGTAGACCAGGCTGGCCCTGAACTCACAGAGATCCGTCTGCCTCTGCCTCCAGAGTGCTGGGATTAAAGGCGTGAGCCACCACACCTGGCTGGCTTATTTTTAAGATAGTGTCTCACTTTGTAGACCTGGCTAGCCTAGAACCTGCTCTGTAGACTAAGCTGGTCTTGAGCTTGCAGTGCTCCTCCTGGGATTACAGATGTGTACCACCGTACCAAGCTTAACGTTCTGATTTAAAATTCAGATGTTAATTTCTTATTTAGTAAGCAGAATATTAAAATATAAATGTGCCTTGTCTTTTTAAAAGTTTTATTTTGTTTTATTTTTTATTAGTAGTGATCAACAAGATATTACCAATGGGAAAAAAACATCTCCCCAGGTAAAATCATCTACCCATGAATCCCGCAAACATAAGAAATCAAAGAAATCTCATAAAAAGAAGCAGAAAAAACGGTCACACAAAAAACAGAAGAAAAGGAAAAAGGAAGCTACAGATGTAACAGCAGATTCCTCAAGTGAGTTCTCAGAAGAAACTGGCACTTCTGGTACCAGGAAAAGGAAGCAATCACACAAGAGCAAGAAAAAGTCCAGGAAAAAGTCTCCCAGAAAGTCTGCTTTATCCTTGGAGGCAGAAAGTGACACTTCTCAGTCAGATGATTCAGCAGCTAGCAGTTCCGAGGAAATTGAGGAAAGAGACACTAAGAAAACCAAAAGGAAAAAGAAAGAGAAAAGTGTTCATCTCCCTGCCCCTAACAGTGAGACACAGGAAAGGACAAACAAACGCACAAATTGGAAAGTGGCTACAGATGAAAGGTCTGCCGAAAGCTCAGAAGATGACTGACTCGGAAAGGAACATTCTGATTTCCCACTTGACTGGGTATCTACAGCTCTTAAACATTGGGGTTTTGCTAGGGACTCCTTCAGCTCAGGGGGTCCGAGGTCAGAGCTGTCTTGTGCCATCTTATATATTGATAGATACCTTGCCTTCTAATTCGTTAAACTCGATCCCCTTTTGTTGTAACAAGGAATCTGGTGTTTTGTTAATGAAGGTTCTTGAAGAAGAGTTTTTTTTTTTTTTTTTTTTTTTTAAATAATCACCTTTAGGGTAGAGTACCTATACAGCAAATTAAAGGACCCAGAAAGCTGAATCCTGTGAATCCAATGACCTGGTACACCAGTTGGAATGTTGGATTTGGGGGTGATCAGTGTCTGGGATGAAGAGGCTGGAAGCAGTGCTAGATAGGAGGTTTGACAAGTGAACATGAAGTTGCAGCGTCCTAACTTCAGCCTTGGTGCTTTGATCCTTCCGTATCTTGACCTTAGTGCTATCTTGTTTACTTATTGAGGAAATGGGCATAAGAACCACCTTTTTCCATGGTAATGTCCACAGGTGACTGTTAAGGAACCAGAGTTTTCTGCCAAATTTCCCTGCTGGACAGGGTCTACAACTATATTTAATATAGCATAATGGTAATTGGATAGTAGTACGTGGTTTTCTAGTTCCATTGCTGTATATTGCCTAAATGGGTTTGTGTTTAAAATTATTTGTTCAGTTGTCATAGTCTCTATCAAAGGGGAAGAATTAGGAAGTAGTCATGTTGCCAATGATGTTCTGAAAGGGATTCAGGGCAGCAACAGCCATCTAAGTGTCCCCACCACCCTCTTTTTTTTTTTGCCATGTTGGGGATTAAACCCAAGGCCTTGCATATAGTAAGCAAGTCCTCTAGCACTGAGCCATACCCCCAACTCTGTTGTCTTCCTTGTTAATTTTTAATTCTATTAATGAACTTTAGATTTTCCCTGAAACTAGTTGAATCAGTTTCAAAATAAAACAGGCTTCTCAGGGACATACCCACCTCTTCCCAGTTTGACTTTTCAACCATATCATTTCCCTTTGCTATACTGTGATCCCTATGTTCATTAAGAAACCAAAACCACCACCTAAAGGTGGCTGGCAGAACAATTCGTTTTCCATTGAAAGAAAAGATCAAGTGACATTGTCAGGTGGGTTTTGTGTATATGTTGTTTTGTGATTGTCACTTACTATACTGAGTAAAAAGTATAAAAACTCAGGCTTTGGGTCATGGTTCTGCCACTAATTGGCTGACTTCTAGAGCAGGTTAGGTTAACCTTCCTGGCCTTACTTTCTGCATTTATTACAAAAATACTTCATGGATAGCATGGCAATTTAAGACACCAGCAACAGAATACAACTATGACATTTCATGAAGTGCTATTTTATAGTTCTAACTATATTAGTGCTCTTTATGGAACATTTCTAATAAAGTGCTTGTTCTAAAAGTGCACAGTCGGACAGGTGTCCTTTCCATTGATTATGAGCTGGTGCTACCTTTTGGGATAGTAAAACACTAATACTTTGGTGTTAGTACCAGTGTTTCATGGTATGTTTTTATCCTTGGGTTTAGTGGAGGCCTAATGGGAGAAGAATCTTAATTACTACCTCATAATAACCTTGAAGCAAGTAATAGCTTAAGTTTTTAGCATGTATTTTTAAAGCATTTTTTTTTTGTCTGTGCTACAAAAGTACTGATTCCAAGTACAGATTCAGGAAGGGGGGACTGTAGAATAGAGCACTTCCAGAAAGTTGGTTCTATTTGGGTCTTGACTTAGTCCTCCCGTACTAACAGGCTTATCTTTTCCCCAAGGAATGCACATTTTGCCTGATTTTTCTCCCCATGTTTTATCTTTTCTTGGTCATATAAGCAATAAACTGTTTTCTGTCCTAAACATTTCTTATTCCTAAATTCCTGTCTATGCCTTAGGCTCAGGCTTTGATGGTTTCTCTCATCCCCTTAACTATGGCTTAGGGTGGCTCTTCAAAACCTGTCATCTCCCATTTGTAGTACAGCCTTGGAACATTTATTTTTAGTTTTCTTGCCAATCAGAGATCTTCATATTCAATCTTAAAATAGGATTTAGGAAGAGAAAGAACTGGAGATGTCACATTTATTGAATAACTGGTGTGATACAACCTGGAATTACTGGATTCCAAATAAATAAAATTTCACTTTTTGAACATTTGATCTACTTTTTAGTGCCAACAGACTTGGTAACTGCCTGGTACTATGTGGACGCTGGGTTTACAACTCTTTCTCCACTGGCCATCCAATCTGCTTAGTGATAAGTCTTTGCATCTTCCGTCATTCTTCCGAGAGACCTACTGCCCGCCTTTCTGTACAATCTGGGCAAAGCGGCCAGTGATGGCAAGCGTAGTGTCAATGAAGCGGTCCACACAGCTAGATAGACAGTTTTCAGTGCGGGAGTCTAGTCGATTTCCTGGCTTTTCCACACACTTATCCCAACATAGTTCCATGAAATGATGGACCTAAGAGGAAAGAAAAGCAGTAATCACTGGGGTTTGCAGTTCTCTTAATAAAAAAAAAACACTTTGAAAATAAATGGTGGAATCACTGGGGGGTGTTCTCTTCATTTTCTTGTCATGAGTAATGGCCCCAGATCCTCATCCTTACAGACAGTAGACTCTCAGTGGAACTAACACTTTCGTGTATCTCAAAGCAGCAAGGCACGGTGGGGAAAGGGAAGTCAGGATGCTCATGTACCCAAACGACGGCACTCTTATTCTGACCCTGTACCCAAGGGTTCTAACATTTTACACACGGACACTTACAGGCTTGGTAAGCTGAGTACTAAATAAGTAGTTGGTTCACTCTACAGTCTTGAAAAGATGGCCATCATTAATATTTCCTAGAAAATACAGTCAGCAAGGCCAATATCCAGGTTTGAATAATGCCTTAACTTCAGAACCTGCCCCACACCAACTGAATCTACACATTACTTCCGGGCTCAACTTGCTCTAATAATGCTCTGATGTTCATCACTTCCAAATACATTATTATACAATCCCCCAACAGAGCGAGGCAGCGGGCGAACCATGGGGACGGGTGTCTAGCCTAGGGGCACTTGGCTTCCAAGAGGCAGAGGCAGAAGCCAAAGATTCCCAAGGCCAGCCTGGGCCGGCGGAAGCGGCTCCGATGCGGGATCGCCCAAACCCTCCCTGCGCTTCCATGTCTTTGCTCCCTCGCTGCGCGGGTCTCCGAGCACTGAGAACTACAGGTCACCGCGGCGGGAGAGCCAAGCCACGGTCCGCGCGGCGCCGGGCAACTGCCCGGAACCTTCGCTCCACCCTCCACCCCTGGTCTCCATCCTCGTACCTGCGCGGTGAACTGCGCCTTCTGCTGCTCAGCGGCCACCAGGCGCTGCAACTCCGCTTCGTCCGCTTCACCCAGCTCAGCCATGGTCAACGTGAGCTGCTAGACCTTGGGCAAGGAGGCTTGCGCATGCGCAGGGACAGCGCCCCCCCCCCCCGCCCGACTTCCGGTTCGCTGGCGCGAGCAGGGGGAAAACACTAGCGTTTCCTCTGCCCTCCGTTTTCTCGGGGTGGAGTTGCTGCCCAACGGTTTCCGGGTTGTTGGACGACCTTGAGCCCTCAAAAGCGACATGGCGGTGCTCCTACGGCTGGGCGTCCTCTGCGGTGGCCAAGGAGGCCGAGGTGAGGGGCTCCCGGCCGGCTTCCGGCAGGGGCAGGGCAGGGGGAGAGGGCCCTGTGCTGCGACGGGGTACCCCGAAAGCCAGCTCCGTGGACGCTGCCGCGCCGCACCTCTCGTCCACGTAGTTCTGTTCTCATCCACTCTGAGAATGCGCCCAGCCGGAATTGGCAAAGACTGTTAGACTCTGACTCCAGGGCCTGGCCTTCCCGTTTTCCCGGGGTTGGTCTGAGTGTAGGTGGAGCTAGTCTGATAAGTCTATTTTGGTTAGTTTTGAAACTGGCTTTGCAAACCAAGCTTGCCCAGAGCTTGCAGGGAGCCTCCTGACTCTGGCTCCCGTGCGCTGGGATAACGGGCATGCACCATCACTCAGGCCTTTGGTAGTCATTTTGATTGGGCATTTTTGTTATATAAGGAACACAATTAAATAAAACAATTACTACCGTCAAAGAAAAAAAATTAATATTTTAATTTTATGTGTTTGTGTGTATTGCCTGCGTGTATGTAAGTGCACCAATGTCGTGCAGTGCCCATGGAGGTCAGAAGAGAGCTTCCGATTCTCTCAAACTGGAGTTAACCAACGGTTGTTAGCTGCATCTGGGTGCTGAGATTCGAATCCGGGTTTTCCCGCAAGAACAGTCTGAGTGCTCTTAATCGCTAAGCCATCTCTCCAGCCTCCAAAGAAAAAAATTTTAAGGGGAAAATACATGTAATACATAAAGCAAAAACTGTTATTCTATATATGCATTGTTACACGAGTTCAGAGAAACTGCTTTGAGGTGTATTCTGGATAGACCAACCCATCTTAGCCCTGCACCTGATTTCAGGCTTGAGGGTAAAGAAGGCCAAGGTAAATACATGATAGAGGTACTGAGGCGAACAAAAGCAGTGGTGAAAGAATAGAAGATGCATACTATGAGAGAAAACAAGAAAGAGAGTAATATCACAGTATGAAGGTCAGGGTGTGACATTAGCTTAGAAAGGTCAAATGGGGTGCTGGAGAGATGGCTCAGTGGTTAAGAGCACTGGCTGCCCTTGCAGAGGACCAGGGTTCAATTCCCAGCACCCACATGGTGGCTAATAGCCATCTGGAATTCCAGATGCAGGGGAATCCAACACCCTCTTCTGACCTCCGCAGCACTGCAGGACATGGGTGCACTCACATACATGCAGGCAATATACTCATGCACATAAAAATAATAAATATTAAAAAAAAGACAAAATGGAACTGAATCACAGAATTTAACTTGATAAAGATTATGCTACCAGGTGTTGGGTAGCCAGTGATTTTTGTTTTATTCTATTTTGAGATACAGCCTTACTATGTTGCCCAAGTTGGCCTTCAGTGCTTGGGTTCAAGAGTTCCTGAGCAGTAGTAAAAGATTTGACAGATTTACAGTCTAGGTTTACCATTTTGTTGTTGCTCAGACTGGTTGGAAACTTGTCCTGTCAGCCTCCTGGGTACCTGGGATTATGGCTGTGAACAACTATGCCCAGCAGTCCAGCAGTTTCTCATTCTCATTCTCTTCTCTTCTCCTCTCCTCTCCTCTCCTCTCCTCTCCTCTCCTCTCCTCTCCTCT